GTCGATTAATTGATTAATAATCAGATAGCCAAAGGTTCCTTTAAGATTTGGAGGAGAAACAAAAACTTTTCCACTTGAGGACTCGTGGATTATAGCGAATGTTGACAGACGAAAATGAAAAAGAAGCAGAAACCAAACAAAGGAACTAAACACACCGTCGTGCTCATCACTTTAAATGAAGCTGAAGCGACGGCGGCGCCGCAGAGAGCCTTACCTCCTCCGGTGCTGTCCTGCCCCACAGCGGTCAGCCCAAGGTCCCCCTGCCAGCGGTTCTGGGCAAGGCTACCGCCATTGTCTCGCATGGTCCACGGACAACCCACGACCTGCGCCAGCTCGTCACCTGCAGACGGCAAACAAAGGCGGCATCAGCGATTAGCGGAAACAGAATAGAAACGCTTCCAAGGAAATGCCCCCCCCCCAAAAAAAAAGTTAAAAACAATCTACTGGACTTTGTTTCCAAGTTTGAAGACGTTTCTCTTCCCATCCCACATTGAAACAGACGAACGGCTCCGCCCTAAATTGGAACAAAATCTGAATAAAGATCAAGATTCTGATCAGAATGCGGGAAAATGAAGAAACTAGTCTGTAGTTTTACACTCAGCTCATCCATAAAATAATGTCCAATTAATTATTTTCGGATTGAATAAAAGACTTTTCTGTTGCCCTGATTGGAGGAAAATGGTCCCAATCCTACGGCGAATAGAACGACTAACGACGGCCGGTAAAATCATCATAAGGCAAAAGCAAAAAACTTAAAATCATTGTAAAGTACATATGAATAAATAAGCCTGTGGCATAACTATAAAATAGGGGTGCACTGATTGCAGTTTCCTGGCCGATTTCCGATCACCGATCTTTAAAAAGTCTGACCTGCTGATTACGATTTTTGGTTAATACCGATTTTATTATTTTTTTGCTATAACCAACACTGCGTTACAAGATCGCAATTCACTTTCAATGTTACAATCTTTTCTTGAAAAACATGCCCTTGAACCATTATAAACTTGTTTTAACTGAGGTAGAGCCTTGACATAGAAATGAATTAAATAATAAATATTAATTCAATAAAACAAACTTAAGACTACAACATTGGTCTTTTGATTTTTTACATTTCAAATAACAAAACTTCAACAAAAGATCAGAAAAAATATGGAATAGCAACTGATTTTAAGACACTCGCCGAGGTAAATA